CTTGTAACAGTCCAACTATTCTGCCCCATGCCTTTACTTCCTTTAGCACCCTGTCATGTTCAATGTTAAAAGTTCAATCATGAGATTTTAACGGATTTACATAGTTCTAGAACCCACTCAACATGAAAATGCGGTTTCTGAAAACCTGTCTGTTTATGTGTGTGTGGGTTGGTGGATGAACGAATGGGTGGATGGATGTGCCCCTAGGTAGCGCCTGAATGGTTCAACGGATATCATTCATATTCAGAATTGAAGAGTTTATCCGTCACGCGTCGTTACCTGGTGAATATGAACATTTTAATTCAAACATAGGGGCTCTGCAAATGAGCCTTAAGACACAAAATTGCAATTTTCTTGAAGACGAAACTTCAGTAATTTATGAAAACGACCTCCTTAAACAAAACTGTATAAGTGGTACCTTTGGGCCCAAAACGTAGTCAAGGTCAGCTGCGTAAGAGGAAGTTTAGCTGCAGGATCGCGGTGGAAAGGAGAACTAGATACTGTGGTACTACAGACCCAAGCAGACCTATTTTAGCAGTTCCTTAACAGAGACAAAGCTGGAGCACTGACGGAATAATTTCTACCGGAAAACTGCTTCAGTGCCACTTTGTCAATCTCACTTTCCACATGAAGTACCCTGGGGTTTAACTCCGTGGAGGGATACCGGTGTCTGACCGCCTGAGCCTTCGTCCCACATCCTTACCAATCCATCAGTTATAACCTCCATTCAACCGTACAGATGAGCAGTTCATACAGCCTTGTAAATTAGTGAAATAAATAAACGCACATTCTTTAGATTTCTTCTACGTATAACGAATGACTTTTCCAACAAGATCTCAGGCGACGTAGACCTCTGTGCATTGTGTCCATACAGATAAATGAACACTTAGCAGAAATTATATCAAAACAATAATGCAGGGTGGATATTTTTCCGTTTTCCTTTCAAAATATGGCTTTAAAATGTAAGCAAAAATTAGTCTATGTGCTTTTTGGAGGTACATGAGCAGCCCAAAATAAAACCTAGAATTCGTATACGCATTGAAGAAAACTGCGTAATGAGGAGCTTCATAAATTGTACTCTTCTCAAAGTACAATTAGAATGATAAAGTCAAGGAGAATTAGATGGGAAGGGCATGTAGCACGAACGGGGAGAACGGGAATGCATATATGATACTGGTGGGAAAGCCATAAGGAAAGAGGGCCCTAGGAAGACCAAAATGTAGGTGGGTGGACAATATTAAAATGGATCTTAGAGAGATAGGATGGGATGATATGGATTGGATTGATTTGGCTCAGGATAGGGACGCAGTAATGAACCTTCGGGTTCCATAAAATGTTGGGATGTTCTTGAGTAGCTGCTGGCGGCTTCTCCAGAAGGGCTCAGCTCCATGAGTGAGTTGTTTCACATGTGCGTCCATATTTCAGATCTCACTTTCAAGTCAAACATAAAAGGGAAACAGTTGGTGGACACAGAGTTCTCGTTGAAACAGGAAAGATTCTCTGCTCTAAAGCATCTGAAATTCCTGACCTATGCACGGCCCAATATGCAATGTCATGCTATAAACATGCCGAGCCGAGTCTGGTAGCATGGTTCCGCATCCGGTTAATCGAGTTCCGAGTCAAACCACCTCAAGAGAGCTCTTTATTATTCTTCGTTTCTATGGACTGACATTGCCTTGAGGCGATATCGACAGCTGGTGGCCCGGCGATAATATGAATGATAAATTGCGAAGGAAGTAGCCACGCATGGATTACAGTATTATCCTAGTCTCCGAGGTTTTCGTGGTTCTGATCCGTCAATCTGCCAGCAGATTACCTCGCAATATGTCAAAACAGCATTCTTTCCAATTCTAACAATAAATATAACAATTTATCATCAATCTATATTCAACCAACATTGCGTCTCAAATACCTCGCCGCCACCCACCGCCATCAGTAATGGCGTGCGATATTTCAGTCACAACATTAAGAGCCTTAATCTGAAAGTTTTGTTATTACAATATGCTTACAGTTCGGCCTAAGAAAATTAATGTTATGTATATAAATTACTTACATAACTGAGAGCTTCATGTATATTCTTCGCCATACATCACTAGATAACCAAGTAATAGAAGGTTGGATGGGCGCAAAACATAGCATTAAAGCCTACGTCAGAGGATAATATTAAAATGATTCTAAAAGGTGGTGGTTTCAACTGGGTCAGGATATAATCGAGTGGTAGCTGGGTTATTTTGAACTGGATAATGAATTTCGGCTCCAAAAAAGGCGGTTACTTTCTTAAGTAACCGAACATGGGTCTCTCCATGTTTATGCTATATCTTATGCTCACCACAAGACGTCAGGTTTGTTGACGTTATGCCTCATGTTCTTGTCGCCATAGCAACTGGACTCAAGGCATGGTTCTTTCCATAGCAGGGCCCAAATGATCTAATTCTCACATTTTCATAATGAACTCACATTCTGTTAATTCCGTACTTAAAATTTATGCTGCCTTTCTTATAAATTTAAATGTTGTTTCATATGCCTGTGTTTAGATCGGCACGGCCCTCAAGAAAATACCACAATTTTCATTTTGAGGCTTACTAACCTATCCGAAGAGGCTGTAGCTAACTTTCGGTGAATACCCGCGTGCTGAAGATTAATGAAACTACATGCAAAGCCCCCGAAGTTTTCCTTCATTCCAGAAAGTTGATGCTACTCAGAACGCCGTACGCGAAGCAACGATGATCAGAAATGTTCGCCACTACGGGAATGCAGGAAGAGCGTGCGTTCACGCATCTGTAGGAGACTTCTGGCACCGTTTTTAGAAGTACCTAGGACTGAATTATTACTGCATAGCTTCCAAGAATTTATAAGGTCACGGGGGTCAGTGAAATGTCAATGAATTTAAATACTTGAGTGTCGAAGTATGATGCAAGCAGCCGGAAGGAAGCAATGTCCACTGTGGCCTTGCGATGAGAAATGCGCTCTGTGAAGATCAGTGTAACAATTCATTCAGAAAATCTAAATGGTCCCGACCTCCTGGGAGATCTAGGCATAAGATGGTGATAGTATTAAAATGGATTTTCAGAAGACTGGTGTGAGGGTGTACATTCCTATCCAGTGGGTACTGGAGGCGATTTCCCAGGGATAAAGCGGTCGGGGCGTGAAGCTCACCACTCACCTATAACTAGTGCCGAGATCAAGAATGGTGAAACTATATCCCCATTCCCCCATATGTCTTCATGGCATAGCGCTTAACTGAATACACTATTACAGGCAGGAACCTGGGACGCGCGTAAGGGTGCCGCGACCGTGCCTTGTGCGAGCTCCAGGTCCCACTGGCCCGGTGGGTAGACAGGACTCGTTAGCCGCGGTGGGCAACTTGTCTAACAGAAGCAAACCCTGAATACAGACTCTGGTCCTCCAAGGCAACAGGCTAGCAACCTGCTGACGTAGGACATAATTACCCATAATCCTCCACGGTGCTTCATGCGTGAGGGTGGAAAGGGCTACCGAGCTCAAATCTTGCATATTCTTCTTCTTCTTCTCCTTATTATTATTATTATTATTATTATTATTATTATTATTATTATTAAGACCAAGGTGGTGGTGGTGTGGTAAGTGGTAACAATAACACTGTTTTCATGCTCGTGTAAATGACGTTCTTCTCAAATTTACATGCGTTTTTTTTAATAATATCCAGCAACAATGCTGATGTTCGTCAAGAAGTGAGAACCACCTTGCTTTACCCACTTTGCCACAGTTGAGGAAAGGGTTACACTTAAGTTAACTTTTATCGAGTTGATGCTATTTATGGCGAAGTGTATTTTGTTATTATTTTACATTAACCTTCACGAGGCCAAAGCTAATATACTTTGTAACATGGATACTTGAAGGTCGGCAACAAGGAGTGCCCGCTGTGTTTACACAAGATACAAGTCATCCAGAGTGGACACCCTTAAGAAATAAGACGGTTACCCTCAACCAGATTTAGATAAGTGTATTATGGTCGTGGAACTACTTCAAGCTCAGAAAGAAAATCAGGCTTGGTTCGAGATTGGTAAATTGGTTTCATAAACGAAACACATCGATTGGACACTGCAGGCGGTATTCTGTTCTTCTGTTTCAAACAGGAAATAGTAAAGCACAGTAACAAGTAACTGCGCCTTGAACGCAACAACTGCAACAGTACAGTCTGTACTAAAATATTCAACTACTTCTTAGTCCCTTTCTTCAAACTGGTTCCCAAGGCCCTCGGAAACCTATGTTACGCATTTATATGATTCTGAAGATATCATTAAAGATATTGTTAACACCGCTACAGAATAACCAAAATTGAGAAATATCCGAAGAAGTATTCAGGTTGTGATGAACTTCTGCCTAACCTGAGTACAGGGGGTCAACACGTAGATCGGTTAATTTCAAATCTCGTTAACCCCCCCCCAAAAAAAAGACTTGGCTTCTACTGGAATAACAAACGCATCATATAGAACGTCGTTATCATACGTACATCATGCAACGGTCCAGCTCAATTCATTATAAAGCATATAAATTTATTCACTAAATAATTTCGCTTATTGTGTGTTCCTTACTGGAAGTTCATAATACGAATGCAAATTGAGAAGGCTGTGTCCAGCATTCCACATGTTAAGTTTCATATTTTGACTGGAAATGCAAACATAGATGGAAATTTCATTATTTCTCACAGGTCCAACAATAACCTCATTTTACCTGAAGCTCAAATAAAACATATTGAATTTCTCTAAGCTGACACAGCGGTGTTGAAAATTCATCCCTATAACATAACGTCGATTGGTACAGATATATAAATTATTTTACACATCTAGTGTCTCTCTGCAAGCAGCACTAATCCGATTTCCAACAGTGTCACCACAATCTCTAACGTGTTTATTTTAGCTAGCGCTTGTCCCTCTGCCAGTGTCCACGCTTCATATCTTCGGAAAAGGTTGCGAAACGTTCATCAGCCTAGTGTCGATCAGAGTGGTCAACTTTCTACTTGTACGTCACCGAACACTGACCTGTGGTTCGGAGCTGAGAGCGGAATGGTGTTCGTTGCTGGCAGACAAAGATCTCTTGTGGACACGCTGGTGCTCGAACAAGTAATAGCCCTGGAGGCTGCCGATCTGAAAAACAGCAATAATAAAATATTAAGTATATTTATTTCATTCCTGATTATTTACTAAAATGTCTAATAACAAGTTTAGGATTCCGTTTTATTTATTTGTTTTAAGTTTATTTAACGACGTTTCAATCAACTTAGATGTCAATGTGATGTAATAATGAACAATGGGCTCGAGACAATACACCTGAAGTAGGAGATCGTGGGGGCCTAGTTAAAGAACGATCCCAGTACTTTGTGGAGGGAGACCACGAAAAACCTCCGTCGCAACCCCGGCCAAGACTCAAACCGAGAATATCCCAGTACAAGTGACAAGCGTTTCGCTTGAACCAAGCTGCTCAGTCGACGCATCGCACCTCTGACAGGAGAGAAGACGTAACTGTGAATCCCATTGAAAGTCCCGGTCGAGACCGTAAAATTCGTGCTTCGTAACCGGGAGGTGCGGATTTCAAACCGCGGTCCGCACACCCACTACCGTAGCTGAGGGTTTCCTAAGCTTCGCTCAAATTCTTCAGCTGAAAGCCGGGAAAGTGCCTTAAACAAGACCACGTCCGCTTAACTCTGTATGTGTTAGAAGGTTTATATCTGAGCTAGTGAAAGCGTCGTTAAATAAACAATTCAATATTATAAGACACGGGGCGCCCTCAGGCTCCGCTGTTACGTTTCCTGTAATACAGCCACTGCTTTGCACATGAAGTCACACAAACTGACATGGACAGATTATTGGGATATGTTAGGACTACTGATACAGCCTCTGACATCTGCCCATCTGCTGGCAACGTCACGGACCACCACTGGCACCTAAACATTTCACCCCGAGTTCTTCTGATTCAACATACAAAGTGCAACCGAAATGCTTAACCGCGGATACTCGACAATGCTTTAGCCAATCTAACTACAGACCTTCATTTCATGTCTGATTTCACTGTTGCCTTCTCACTCCACGCGATAACTCGATCCCAGACCGCGCCTGGCACACATCCTCACACATTGCAGCACATGTACGCATAAATATGGCCACATTTCATGTGACCGGCGATACCAGTGAACTCCGTTGATTTCCATAAAGAATTCAGAAATGCTCCCATTAAGCAACAATACGTACAGCTGTAAATGGTCTTCTTGTCCCTGTGCTTAATTAACTAAGCACCACGCTATGCAGACGTAAAGGGGGTGGTCATGTAGCTCCACCATTCTTGATCTTGGCACAAAAAGGGGGTGAATGGTCAGCTTCAACCCCCTGCCACTTTCTCTCTGAGGAAAATGGATAGGAGGCTGGATGGGTCCCTGAGCTGGCAACTAAATACTCAGAATCTTATTCACAAATAATTTTATATTAAGATTCTAAATGCCTTTAAAAAACAATTAACAGTTTCCACGTTAAGTACCATTAAACGTGTTCTGAAATTGTCACAGCTACTCTGTAGATATGTTACTGCAAATAATGAAATTAATAAAGAGTTTTTCTTCAGGTTCCCAGAGCAGCGACTATGAAAAGTACGATCTTCTGAGAGGCAACGTCGAATAATTCGGCAGAAGTCCACCGAATTTTCGGAGGAACGTAACGCCTCCATCTTCAGGATCATAGAGTAAACCAAAGCAATAAGCCAGGAGTAATCAAGTGAAAACCAAATCTACGACCCTGATGATGGAGGCGATAATTTCCACGAAGAGCCGGTGGACTTCTACCGAAGTACATGGCGTTAGAACCCTGAAGATCGCACACATAACATAAGAGACCCTGGTTTCTGACAGCGTAAAAATGCCAGACCTGCTTTACATAAGCAACATAAAGATGCTACCATCCATTACAATTTCTTTAGCAGTGGTTAGACGTAACTAAGCATAAGAAACTGCTCTTGAACGAGCCAGCTACCATGAGAGCACTCTTAATTTTGGTTATACCCCCAGCTGTAACACGTAAATGCCCCTCCAGTTAATTAGCTCGGGATCACTAAGACTGTTCCACTTGTACGACTGAGATGGAGTCCATCTTTTATTGCCGTTGTTGCGTAACAGCCCGGTTTGGGCAGCTCGCTCATGACACTTAGAAGTAAAAACAAAAATTGTTTACTGCAGGTGGGATGAGCCATAATACCATTTCTATCTTAAAAGATGGGGGGAAAAAAATTAGTCATATGTGGCTCACAGGCTAAAGAACTCTATAACAACTGGGATAATTAAGCTTCGAGGCGCACACAAAATATTAATTATCAAGCCTGCACATATGAATGTGCAGACATGAAATATTATATTTTACCCCTGTGAACATTCGGAGATTCTATGTCAAAATGTATTAAAATTACTACATGCATAAAATTAGGAAGTGCTGTTTACTTATTGCATTATTCCAGAATCCCCAGAAAATTAACCCCAAAACAACTCCAAACAGCAACACACCCTGAGATGAGTAAGTGTTGGCTCAATTCATCGGCCAACAGACACAGAATGCGCGCGTAACAACCGTACTGCGCGTCAAAGTTAAATATGAGAGACCTGCCCAAAATCATTATTCTTACATTAATAACATATTCAAATTGTTTAATATAAAATACATGGAATCTAATTTATCAGTAAAATTGTATTTTACCATTGGCACTTGGAACCATCAGAAAACTCATTTTGTAGGTCCCAAATAAAGTGAAATATAATTTTACTGGTAGCTTCATACATAACACAACAATACACAAATGTTTGAGACACATGGGATCTGTCTGCACAGCCATAATTAAGGTAAATTTAATAGCTTACGATCACTTCCACTGGTCGACTTTAGTGTTGGGGGTGTCCAACCTGCGAATTTTATTAATTCGGTGCAAAAGATTTAGTTGTTTGTATTTAAAATTATTAACTGAACAGTAATTTAAAAACAGTCATTTAACCTCTGAAAGCTCATTGCTTACGCGGAGTACAGAGAGCCAGATATTGTCTTCTATCCAAGGAAGCAAACAGAGGGTTGTTCAAATGAAACCCGTTGACGGAGTTGTTAGCGAATACCGCCGGTTGCAGGTGATCGTGTGGCTGTGTGAATGACACACCAGCGCCCAATCACTGGCTGTGACGTCAATACGATGCATGTCTTAGCTACCACGCAGACTACTAGTAACGGCTTCCATTCCCACGCCCACAACAACCCCGAAAGAACGTCATCTAAATACCTCCCCTACATCTCTTCCCGAGCCATATCGCAATCCTACCGGTATATCGGCAACGCCATTACAACCCCTCCCCCGAAACAAAAGAAACTGAGTGTTTGTACAGACCAATCACTTTGTTAAACGACCAGTATATTAAACATTATCTGAAAGGTACATGACATATCTTGAGGTGTGGTTTAAGGTTGTTTCTCAATAAGTGAAACAGAGGCACTAGGTGGAGTCGAAAACAGAGCTCTGGGCTCTTTCATCATCCTCTGAGGCACTGGAATCATTAAGTCTACGGACCTTGGCCAATTTCTGACAAATCTTTCAATCTTCCGTCCGAATCCTAATCTTTCCGTCACTAATGCGCCAACATGAACATATCACAGCAGGCGCTGCGTCCGTGACAAGTTCTGTGCTACTGTAGCTGTGCGTCCATGTCAGTGCCACTCACATCATGCGAGCAGCATCAACATAATCAGCATTATCACCGATACCGTCACCTTCGCAGGCGACAACACAGAACAGCTAATGAAGAGAACAGGAGTATGGCACAGGGAAAGCTATGGAGATGCAACTGTTATAAAATTTTACACCCACAGCCCCAAAGCGCAATAAAACGAACTGCTACCAAGCTGATTAAATTCTTTGTTCGGAGTGGGAAATTAAAATTCAACATAATGCTTTTCCGTCCGTTTATGTCTGACTAGGGAGATAGAAATTAAAAGACAATTCTTTCTAACGACCCGAGATAATGTTGACAGGCTGAGGTGCAATATTTCAGTCCACTCTCCTTACAAGAGCATGTTCAGAGTTAAGTGATTCTGTCACACCGTTTACCACACCATATGACCCGAACTGTAAACATGGGTTTCAATTATCTCCGTTAGAACGATGAATAACGGGCACAGCAAAAGTGACGACAAACTTGTGTACACTGGTTACACATTCTGAACTGGGGAACAGCACTTCCATTTCCCGTCCGTCGTTTCTACATAACTGGGTTGGACTCAGCTTACAATATTGTATTACGGCAAGAGGAGCGGGCTAGCAGCCGACAAGGAGATTCCAGCCAGCCAAGCAGTGGTGGAGATCACGTGTTCGAGAGATATGGTTAACACTGCCAGGGGTCTGACTACTTTCGAAAACAGAAAAGGAAAAGAAGGAACGAAACAGAAATATGGATAAAAGGGGCAGGGCCCACATAAGGCCGATGAGACAGCCGGATGTTAAAGCTAACAAAGGATATGAGGTTCTCATAGGTGTGGTTATGAAGAGTTCTGTATTCTGGATATGACGCCGTGTAGTCCGCTGAAAGTTAACGGACGTTTCGGAGGAACATGTAGCCTTCATCTTCAGGGTCGAAGAATAGGCCAAGCAAGAAACCAGCGTGAAGCATGTAGCCAGCCTGCTACTTGCTACTTGCTACCTTCTTCACACCGGTTTCTTGCTTGGCTTATTCTTCGAACCTGATGATGCAACTCACATGTTCCTCCGAAACGTCGGTTAACTTTCAATGGACTACACGGCGTTATATTCTAGAAAACAGAACTCTTCATAACCACCTCAAATCCTACACAGGTATGTCTTTGGTCTACTTCCTTGCTCAATTTGGCACGTCTAATTCCAGTAAGCCGGCATGCACTGTCTTCGCTCGCTCGGAAGCCGGGATCGTGGGTTCGAATCCCATTCAAGGGCATGGATGTTTGTGTGCGTTTTTCTGTGTTTGTGTACAGGTAGAGGCCTTGCGACGAGCTGATCACCCGCCCAAGGAGTCCTACCGAATGTTTAAGATCTAGAAAAACCGAAGTGAAAGGAGAAGTTCATGGAGGTAGGCCTAGGCCCACTGGGGCTGTAGTGCCAA